ATTGAATAATTTATTTAATATATTAAGATTCAGGACCAATTACAATGCAATAGAAAAGGATTTTTAGACATATTTAAGGGTTCAAATCTAGTGATATAATACTAAAATATATTAAAAAAAAATGATTTAAAATTTTAATAAAAATATATTCAAAAGTAAATCGATGCAATGAAAACGACTCCACTGCACCGTGTATAGTTGCCAAAGGAGGCTTAAGATAAATTAATTCAATTATCATTTCAAATCAAACAAATTAATTAATTGACCTAAAAATGAGGACAATTAAGTCCAAAATGTACAAGCAAGAAAGCTTGGGAAGTGCATGCCTATATGGTGCAGTTGAGAGCGGGGATAGGAAATGAGTGAAGGTGGGTATGGTCCATTGTCAAAGTGCAAATGCAAGGAGATACCACATCCACATCCCTCATCCCACCGGCCCTTATTTATGCGAGTGCGCATGAAATGTAAATTTGGTAGAGCAAATTATTACAGGGTTGAAACAAAAAAATCTCTCCTCCAATCACCAAGGTTATCAAATTATTTTAGAAATTATAAATTACGATTTCACCAATTTTAAAAGTGTCAAATGGATTATACGACGCATGACATGACACGATTCAACAAAATATGAATTGTGTTTAGCACGATCCACTATTAAATAATCAGATTGAGTTACTATATATATATGTATGTGTGTATATCGTATTAAACTATAACTTTTTAAACTTATAAGTCAACACAACATGATTCGTTAAAAACTAATGTTAACACATAACACGTGAACTAGCACAGTATAATATATATATCCAAATATGTCATGTTATGTTGGCTTATAATTGTTGTAAATGAACTTATGATCTTTTAAGTGTATTTATTTTTTATATTCTAATGAAATTATATTTATTTTTTGATAATTTATAAAATAAAATTATATTGAATGAATTTACTTATTAAATATTTAAATTATTGATAAATGAATTATATCTACCTAATTTGCAAACCGATAGATGCATGGATTATTTTTATTTATTTAAATTTATGTGTATAAAAACAAATTAATATTCTTTTCAAAATTATTTGATCAAAAATCTCAAACTTGTAAGATAAATAAAAAAATAATTTTAGTTGTAAAAAAAAAAGAGAGACTAGTTATATGAAAAAGTATAAGAAAAAATATAAAACTCATCTACCACTTCTAATGATTCCTCACAAATTATACTTAGTTAACATCTTAATAGGTCTTTAGGTGCATTTCATTTTTCACAAGATAATTGATATTATCAATTAACTAAATTTGTAGTGCAGTTTGAGTAATCATTTATTTTTGCAGATGATAAATGTTTTAATGATTTAATTAAAAATGATAAATTATCTAATTATAAAATAGTTTCAAGAAATACTATTAGATTATATGCTTTTTAACATATTTTTTCTTATAAGAAATTTTAATAGCTAGTTTATCAAAAATTTCCTCTATAATTTCACTTACTTCTTATATATGGACCAGTTGGTAAAACCTTAATTTTATTTATATTACTAAGTATTTGATAGATGATATATTTGTGTATGTGTGTGTGTGTTTTTTTTAAATAGTAGGATTATAATTTTAATATTTTTATTTAATATATTATATTATATATTTTCGTGGATATAGATATTTTATTGAATCACATAAATTATGTCCTTTTATTTCATTTTGTGTTTATTTACCTTCCAGATGTTATTTTTAATAATAATAAATAATTTTTTTAAAAAAATAATTCAAAATTTGAAAATTTATTAATGAATTATTCTTGACCTAGCTTGACACGAAAAAGAACATTATACCTGGCATGGTACAATCCATGAATATTACAATTTATGTGCCGTGTTAGGCCATATCCATAACTTTCCTGGATCGTGCTAGCATGATATGTTAAAAAATAATACTGACTTGACACGATTCATTAATATATGAGTTAATATTTAAATGGGCTATGGGCTGTGCTGACCTGATGCGACGACACTTCTACTCTCTATTAATCAAGCTATGTAAGAATCGAATATGAGCCAATAATCACAACTCTCCGCTCTTACGATACTTACCTCTCGATGGTAATTACAAAAACAATGCCTAAATTAAAGTGTAAAACATATTGAGCTAGTATTTATATATTAGTGGTGTAATTTTTTAAGGTTAAAATATTTTAAAAAACCTTTACATTATTTTACTTTTTTTAATAAGTTCATATATTATTGTTGTATCTAAATAAATTTTTATGCTTTAATTTACATTTAAATAAATCTTTATTTAAAACAAAAGATTGATTCGTGTGAAAAGTTTATTTAGGTATAAATTAAAAGTTAAAGTGTTTATTCAGAAATAATTTTAAATTTAAGAGTTTATTTGACTGTTAAATAAAAATCGAAAAATTATTTGGATACAATAAAAAATATAAGAGTTTTATCTTAGCAAAGTAGTAAAATTCAAGAAAATTTTTTATTATTTTAACTTTTTTTAATTTTAAAGTTAAAATTAGTTTTTTTATTTTATAAAATTTCTTCTAAAAAGTATATATCATTTTGTTAACTTTGATGTGAAACCTAAAAATTTCAATAAAAGTGTTTGAAATAATTTTTCAAATACATTATACTCTAAGATTTGATGGAAAATACACGTATCTCTTTTAATTTGAAAAACGTCCTCTTAAACTTTTGAGGTTTGATGAAAAATACATGAACTTGTAAAATGTTATTTTCTAAGATAATTTTAAATGAAAAGGCAAATGTGCCTTTTACTTTTTTTTTAATCCAAAATTTCTTTAATAACAAAATAATGAAAATTTAATTAATTTTAATTTTAATTATTACCAAATTATTATTTAATTAAGTTATATTATAATTTAAGTACATATTAAAATTTTTAAACTTATCTTTTAGTTCAATGTTATATTAACTTTGAAATACTTTAATGATAAGTAAATCACAATAGATATTCACGATATTTTTAATAAATAAATTTATCCACGTGTCGAGTCTTAGATAAAGGTTTTTTTATTCTTGTGATATTTTTTATTAATAATATTTTTAATTAATTTTAATTTAAAAGTAAAAAAAATATTTTTTACCATTTAATCTAAAATTTTTTTACCATTTAATTTAAATGGATGAATATGATTCATGCTTAGAATTTAAAAATGTGAATCAAGTGGAATTCAATCTATAAATACTTTTATTTTTGTAGTCTAACTCTTTGAAATTAATAATTTATGCATATTTGACTTATATATCTATATATGAAACAAATCAAAAACTATGATGTAACTCTAAATATGCAAAAGTCATTATTCATCAAATATATACTCATATTTCAAAGAAAAAGGTAAATGCTATATATGTGAATTATGAAGGCATAGTAGTAATTAAAAAAAAAAGAATGCTTTTTACTTAAAAATTTAAACTTACTAAAAGAAAACAGTGCATCGGCATGAAAAAAATAAAAAAGAAGAACATTTGTCGTACAGATGAAGACAATCAGAGCTATACAAGAAAGAAATTAAACTATTGCCCTCTTGAGTGGTTATGGAGTTCTTAAAGAATATATAAATTCTGGTTTCGAATTAAGATATATATATTTTTTATTTTTCATGGGTTATACTCATTCTATAAATCCAAAATTAAGAAAGTTAATTTAAAAAAAAATTACAAGTATTAAAAATTGAATTACAATTTTATAAAAAATTATCTTTTAAAGAAAAATGTAAACCATTTGAATTAAATCTTAAATTTTAAAAAGAATTAGAATGTTAAAATGGTTAATATTTTATTATACAATACTATATTTAAATAAATACAAAAATTAAAATTTTAAAATTTGATTTAAAATTATTATAATTACATGTACACGGTAACATATTATAATTGTAAGATAAATTAGTAAAAATATGAAGATTAAAGAGAAAAATGCTTAAGCATTTGCCTTAATTAATCTATGCATGGTTTTATATTAAAAGAATAACATTCGAATATTTGCATCTTCAAATAAAAATAAAAATAAAAAGCAAAAATATACCCACCTTGACCAAGAAAATTGTGTACGGAGCAATGGACCAAGTTGTTTATAAAGCTTGTGGACCGTTTGTTGCCTCTGTTTAATCAAAATCTTCTTCTCCACGGAAGAGGAGGGGTGATGTGGCTTCAGCACTTGTTCCCCAAGAAAAATATACAATATAGAATTTTTTTTTCCAAAATCAACTTAGCCATATTAATAAAAAAAAAAAAATGAAAGCAAACTTTTCATTTTAACAGCCGTTATATTTGACTCACCTCAGTGTTTTAGATTAGATAATTTGAGTAATATTTCCTTTTTTGACCTAATATTAGAAAGACAAAAATTAAAATAAACTAAGATATATATTTTCCTATATAATTAATATAAATTTTTATATTTACCTTGCATTTTCATTCAAGCTTTCGAACTCTTTTTAGAAAGTGTTTAAAAATAATTTTTTTTTTTGTATTTACACATTTGATTTAATTATAAAATGGGTTTGAATTTCCTTTCACTTCCAAAATAAAACAGACAAAAATGTCTTTTTACTTTTTTTCTCATAAGACTTTGATATTTTATTATATGAAATTAATGTTATAAATTTTTATTTTATTATAATTAAAACCTTGATGATATAAAATAATTTTTTCTTAAAATTTTTAATTAAATGATTTAATTTATAAAAAATACTAATTTAAATTTTTTAGATGAGTTCAATGATAAATATTTACAAAAAAACTACTTTAAAAATTTTGTTAATTGGATTCATTAATCTATTTTTAAAATTTAATGAGTATATTTATAAGGAAATAAAAAATATATAGTTTCACTTTCTTGCATTGAAAAATTTTTTATTTGAATTTTTAAGTAAAGTCTTAGGATTTATTTGGGTATTATTATTTTTTTTACTCTCTATTCTTAACAGTGTTAAGATTATGGTCAAAACACAACAAAGAAGTAACCATTTTGTTTGGTACTTGAAATTCAGACATCAAGCTCAAGCTATAAATACTCCAACAACTTAAAAAGTCGACAAGGGTATTCATCCGAGAAAACCAATAGAAATCCTCAATTCAAAACCCCATTTTTGCGATTCTGCAATTGAAACGCCATGAGTTTTCTTGCGGGAAGGCTAGCGGGAAAAGAAGCAGCCTTCTTTTTCCAAGAATCCAAACACGCCGTTAACCGTTTGGCCGAGAAAACCCCCAAAAACCTCCCGTCAAACCCACCATCGGTCGAGCAAGAAGCTCAAGCTGACGTCCTTCCAGAGGTCCTAAAACATTCTTTACCTTCCAAGATCTTCCGGCAACCGTTTGGTCCTTCATCTCTCTCAAGGTCCTCCAAGTGGGCCCTCCATTCTGATCCAAACAATGCTTCCATTTCTTCCCCTGATGCCTTGAACCCTCTCAGGGCTTACCTTTCTCTACCCCAGGTTTCCTTTGGCCCCAAAAGGTCAGTTTTGCCCCTTTCTTTTATACCAAGTTTCGGGTTTTTTTCTATTCGTTATTGATTTTTCTATTGTGTCTGAACGAGGAATTTGCAGGTGGCAGTTGCCAAGCACGGAGCATTCGGTTATGGCATCGACGGCTAATGAATTGCGGAAGGACAAATATACCCCTCTCAATCCGGAGAAGTTGAAGGCTGCTGCTGAAGGGCTTCAGCAAAGTATGTTCATTCATTTTTCCTTTTATTGCTTTTTTTATCATCTTTACCATCTCATAAGCTCTTGTAATTACTGTGATTATTTTTAATCAAATCTAATTTGAATTAGAGAACATTTTAATTATGAGTTTCAGTTGCCTTTTGTACTAAATTTCGCATAGGGCTTCTAACACTTGGTTTTAGTGTTTGTTTTATATAGTTGGAAAAGCCTTTGTGGCTGCAACTGCAATTGTATTTGGCGGAGCCGCCTTGATGTTTGGGATGGCAGCGTCCAAATTGGAGTTGCACAATGTGAGTTTTGCTTATTACGCCTTGATTGATAAGTTTTTTGGTGCTCTTTATTTTTATCGTGAAATTGTGATGAAATATATGGTTTCGCATTTATTATATTTTCCTGCTAAGTACATTTTGACGCATCCAATAACCCTGTAATTTAATTGCCTGCACAAATAGAGGATTGGTTTCCTCCAATTCACTCTGAAAGCTTTGAAAAGATAAAAAAATGCTTAAAAATATTGAGAATCTCTGGTTATAGGAGATTAGAGATTCGGTATCTATTAGATAGATGATCAATTGGAAAGCTCTCTACTTAATGTTTCATTCGGATTATCTAGTTTTCCTGCATTATCTAAGATTTCTGACAGTACGAATCAGTTGAAGTATAATATGATAGTAATTCAGAACTTGGTCTTAATAATGTTAACAAATTCTGCAATGGTTTTGCTGTGGATAAACCTGCTCATCAACTTATTCTGCATGGTAATTGACACGTTTATGACACTTGTGCAGAAACATAAAGACAGTACATTTTTCTCCATCACTGCAAATGCCACTGTGTTATTCTGATGACATGCTTATCAAATTGTCATTCACCTAATGAGGGTTAATTTTAACTCACGATGGAAATGTGATTCAGCCAAGCTGTGATAGATTAATGTTATTTCATGCTTTTGGGTATCTATTTCTTTATCCTTTCTTCTTTTCCTCCTTTTCCAGTCTTCATGCCCTATCAAATGGCAATTTAATTCAAGTATTTAACAGCCTTGGGTTTATGATAAGTGATTTTTCTTCTTCATGACGTGTTCCATTTGTGTTTACTAGTCTTTTCTCATGTGGCTATAAGTTGGGAAATGCATTGATGATGGTGAAATGTTTTCCTTATTTCATTTTCTTTATTTTGTTTTCTTCTGCTTTTGGCAGAGTGATGATGTCAGAACAAAAGGAAAAGACCTGGTTCAGCCTAAATTTGAAATGATTAGAGAACAACTTTTTCCCCTAAGAACTTGGGTATGATAGTCAGAAGTTCAATACTACTATTTTGTGTTTAATTCTTTTTTACAAGTCTAACTATAATTGTACTAACTCAGAGCTTCTAACTTTCAGGCTGAAAACATGTCAAAGAAATGGCACCTGGAAAGGGAGGAAGCTATTAAAGAAAAACCTATCATAAAGGAGCTTTCTAAAATTTTAGGGGTAAAATCATCTAATTGACTTGTAAGTGTATGTAAATTTGCCATCAATAAGTATCGATCTGCATCTGAATAAAATCGAAAGTCTAGAAAAGTTTTCCTTGTAAGTTTCCCTCTCTTAATGTATGCAAATAAGCATTCAAAATGATTTTTCTTCGTGTATAATATGCACAGCATGACTCGTTTAAGTAACACAAAATTTTCTTAAAAATCTTTGGGTTATCATGAACTTTTGTTCATTTGCAACTAATAATTATGACAATTAACTGAAGCTCATGAAGTCCTAATGCTAGTAGATCATTGGATTGCTAGATGAAAGAATGTTGATTTAATGAGTTTTCAAGTCACTTGACCTTATTGGTAGGGCTTTCTGTTTTAAACATGAAAAAGGATAAGCTATACCTTTGGGTGGGGGGTGGTGGTGGTTATCAACAGTGCATTTCCAGATCACATGTTGGTTTTTTTTTTTTGGCCATTAGAGAAACATCTTGGTTGAGGGAATACTATATGATCTAGGTTTTGCTGCACTCAAAGTGGCTTGTGTTGGAATAGGCAGCCCAACAACAGCTTGCTACCCTTGGAATTCATCATTTTAGGCTTTTTTCTTATTGTCCCAAGAATATCATTAATACAAATAAAAAGGAAATTACGCTGCTAATTTGTTTTACATTTATTGTCCGACATTATCTTCTAGTAGACACAATTATTTGCAGTTATGACTGGTGACCATATATACACACATACATACGAATGCCAAATATGCCTCATATATATGCACAATTTTATTTTATTAAATCAATTAGAAAAATGTCTGTAAAGAAACAGATTGGTGAATGAGTATTTCCATGCACAAAATAAAAAGAGGATAAAATAGTCTCAAGAATCTGTAAAGAACTACAAATTTTTCAATGAACTTTCATTACTGGGTGATCTTTGAAGACGAATTATATAAGCTTGAAAGGAAAGTTGATAGTTGCAAGAGCAGCCAGTTGAGCATCAATTTCCTCTATTAGTTTCATTATGTTTCACCCCTATTTGACTCACTATTCATAGCCTGTAATCCAACCCTGATCCAAATTTCCAAGCCTCAAGGTGCCGCTTCCATTCATATTTCATCTTGGATGGAAAAGCGTTTAACCATGACCTTCCAAAGGCAAAACAAATTGGGATCTATAAGATGGTAATAAGTGAAAAGCACAAGTGAAATAAACTGCTTTTCTTAAATCTCTTTAAGTGCCATTGAATTTGTCAGGCTTCAATGAAACTCAGTGGAAACAAAACCAAAAAATTACCTTATAACAGGGTCCATGAAGGATGAGAGAAATGTAAAATATCCCAGCATGAAAAAATGTCGAGACCAGTCAATAAGAACAAGAATTTCAACCTGTAGATGAACAAATGGATTTGACCATGAGAATGCAAATTCATTCACTAATGTACTTATGCTTCTCAAAGCTTTATATGTACTATAAACAATACCAAGATATTAACTTAGTTTCTGGCAATCAATGCAAATTAACTAAACTAAACAAGATTCAATTCAATACCATATTGTTACGGTTACAGCTAGGCAAAAAGTGCTGGACTCTTAGTTCCAGTGATTAGGGTTTAAATCTTGATAATCTCAAATACATAAAAAAAAAAAAAATTGCAGGTTTCCGTTAAGTTTTAAATATCCTTATGAATACATATATTTAAGCTGCCACAGCATAAGATTTATTAGTTGCATTTTTCCAGCAATGGTTTTCTTAAATAAATTTACTTCAGATTCTGGAAACAGAAAAAAGCACAAAACTATGTTAGAAAGTGAAAAATATTGTAGATGCTATATGAACTCATTCTTTAAAACCATCAACTTACACAGTTAAAAGATATATATCACTTGGTTGAAGGAAAGGGCTAAAGGACCCTCTTTTGTTATTAATTACCTGCTTGAATATTGCTGGAAGAATTTGAGGTTTACTTAGCATTACAAGGCCTAATGTCTTGGCAAGAGGCCCAAACTGTATGACATCCTGTCACAACATAGCAGTCACCAGAAAATCAATATCATCATCACCCAAGAAGTGAATATTTGGAAGAAAAAGAAATGAAAAAAAAAAAATGGCACTAACCTGAAGAAATGGTCTTAGCACAGGGTCCCCCAGCCTCTAGAGAAGAGGAACACAAGTTCATTAGGCAATGACAAAACAAATATGTGCATGAAGCAGGGTAGAAAAGTCTTGGCTTTAGCATACAAATTCTTACCTGCATACTCTTGAAGTTTATGTCAAGAAGCTCATTAATAAAATCGGGTGAAACATTAGACTGTTTCTTTGCAGACATTGCTCTTTGAAATAGCCATGAAGCACTCAAGTTCGGCTGCAGCAAACAGATCTAGATTCAGAAAACCGTAACAGCGAGCCACTTTATAGCCAGAAAAAACAGGTTACTGACCATGTAAGGATTCAGCAGCGACAAACTGCTTGAGTCAAGAAAATCTCCATTGATTGCTTCATAAATCCCTGTTCTTGAAAAAGGTACATATTTTTTAAGCTGTCTCATATCTACAAATTCATATATGTTTCACCATGCTGAAGAACATAAATCAGCTTATTCTTTACCCAAAGTTCTGGTTACCATGTACATCTTTCTTTCCGAAATAATTAAGAATACATGTTTCAGGTTCTTACCCCCACCCCCACCCATCCTACAACCCCTAGCCTGGTGCAGTCTGGAGGACAAAGGAAAAAAAAAGAAACTAATAGAAGTCAACATTAAGGTGCTATTTAAGATCCATGAATATAAGGAGCCTATGCAATATGATATGGTTTAACTCATCTTAAAAGTATATCACTTCCTGAAATGATTTTGTTAATCTGTGGAAACTCTCAAATAATCATTGGCTGTCAAAATTAGCAAATAACAAGAAAGTACCATTTGATAATCTTCCAAGGTGCCTAGTCAAGCTCCCAAAACCACCAAAAGAGACAGGTGATTGTATGCCACTAGCATCACCAAACTGAAAAAAATAAATTCATGACATTTGCATTCTATTTCCAATGAATAATCCACTGGAAGATTTCAAAGTTAATAGAAAAATAACCTGTAAAATACGATTAAATGCTGCTGGCAACGGACTGTCAAGTCGATCCTCCCCCATTAAGAATTGGAAGAACATAAACACTCAGCATAATCAACTCAAGTGAAAACCAAGAAAACATTATATTGATTAAATATAAAAATTAAAGCACAACCTACAAGCTTGATGTGTAAAATAAAACTGCTAAGATTTACTAAGAGAACATTTATTCATCGGAAAGTGAAAAGATAAATGCCTCACACCAAGAATACATGATGACACAGCATGGGTAACTTACTGATTTGCAAAATACAACAGGAGACAATCTATTATCAAGTCAATACTCTATAACAAACTTCAAGTTCGATCATAATAACACAGCCAATCATTTTGTTTCAAAAATACTATAGCCTATGTTGAAAATTTATCAAGAGTTTCTCAATTTTCAACATGAACATATGAATGGTATTGCTTTAAACTAGATAAGATAAAACATTTCTAACCTCATTAAAGTAGAATTGGCAATTAATGGGATCATTACCTATCACGATACGTGGGGAAAATGCCATATATAACTCTCAGAATCTCCAGATTATCCATAGAAACTCCCTACAAAATATAATTCACAAATTATTTATCCATTCCAAGCCCTTGCAGAAAATAAACACACTAGTATTTCTAAAGCAAGAAAATTAACAGAATCATGTAGCAATCCAGAATGGAGGAAGAGACAGTAGAAAGCATATTTTATAGGTGAACTGAAATAGATAACTAGTAATAAATGAAGGATAAACTATTTGAATCAAGAGCCACCTTTTATGGCAACTGGAGCAGAGCATCTACTTCTCTTCTCTCGTGTTTTTCCTTTTTCTTTTATTGCCTTTGTTGACTGAATCATCACATGCATTTGCAAAAGAGTTTGCTAATAAGGGGAGCCATTTAAAGATCTTTTTTGCTTTTTCATTTAATTCAAGGTTAGTCAATGTTTTTAATAAAAAGTATTTCTAAAAGTAGAATCTTAGGCCCTGCTCCATATAGGCATTCATTAACAATTGTCCAAGAATAATTATTCTCAAATTATACATTAATCAGTACTGTGCTAGATGTAAAACTTAGCAAGTTGACTACTACAACTGCCAGCCTGACAACTTGGCAGTGGGGCAATTGGCTGGGTCGGTGAGGGTAAATAATGTGTTGTTACAAATGTAACATATCTAATAATATGTTGCTAGGTAGGTTGTAAAGCACATCACAGCAAGAAAAGTAAATGATCCAACAAAATCAAGATGCAACAGCTAGAAATCGTATTAATAATCCAATAGAATTGACAGCAGATCAGCAAATGAACCTGATATTTTGGCATCAAATCCCAATAGTCTTCCAATAATTCTTCCAGTTTTGGGGAACTTGGTTGAGGATTAACATAAGTAAACATATAAATAGTGCGATCTAAGGGACCAGACCCAGCTGGAAATGCCTATAAAATATGAAAAATATACAATTATCAAGGCTTAATATTTCCATTTAATGTTAATGGTACAGAAAAGAGCCAATCTACCTCCCAAAAGTATTGGACTTCTGCATTGCCAACTTTCTTCACTGATGAACTACTATATATGACATCACTGGTAGAGTTCTCCTTAAATCCACGAGCACAGGACCCGACAACAAGGCAAACGCCATCTGGCTTCCTACCACCTCTGATCTGTAAATCAGAAAACAGACCACCAATAGACGGCTTAAGCCAGCTTGATCATATTCTAAACAAAGGGACTTGATTTTCTTTCATTCACTGGTAAGTTAACGATGCAAAAGTTTTATAGGACAAAGTCATATGCACATATTCTTTGAATCTAAAATGTTCGATTATTCAATAAAAGCATGCACATGCACATAAATTTATAAATGAATTTATCATGTAAAATTTAGTTAACTTTATGTTTGATTAATCTTCCTATTCCAAATAGTAGAAGCATATTCAACCACTATATGAGATATACATGAATTATATATAAGAAAGGGAGCATAACCTGTTTTACCACAGGAGAAAAATTCCCCATGGCATCAATGATGAGACGAGATGAAAGAATGTTTCCTTCAGCAAGTTGCAAGACCTATAAAGAACAGGTGGCAAGATGTAATCATCTTAGTTGTTTATTTATTAATGGAGAAATCTAATCCTAGTTTACAATTTATTAAATTTCTTTAAAGTTTACAGGAGGATTTTTAATAGGAAAGTCTCATATAAACTGAGAGGACAATGTTTTATCAGGCTGAAAGACATGTTTGCATAATGAAAAACAGAGAGATAAGTCTCATACAAACATTTTTTCCATCACATTCTTACTCAAAACTGAATTGAAATAAAAAATTCCTTAACCAGTAATATTTCATTCTTTGTATACATATAACCTTTTTGCTAAAATCCCAAATCCTGATTAGTCATTTCGTGTTTTCTAGTCTTATATACTATAGGTCTGTCCTGTCAAGTTTGTACCTTTGTTGCTGCTTAACCAAAGTTGGTCTTAGTATTCTTACACAAAATTATCCCTTTGGTCTAATTGGAGTATGATAAAAGGCATCGTACCCTGTTTTCTAACTGGAGTGTCGTGACTTTTATTATCAGGAATATCAGGGATGTGATCCATCAAATTTAAGAAAGATAGCAGAATTAACCTATCAATTCAACCTCATTAACAGATGACAGTATCAAGTATCAATAATATGCAATATCAACGATACAAGTTCATAAATATCAGTAAACTCACAGCTGCATCATCATAAATGCTTATGCCAGACACACTGCAACCCTCAAAGATCACTCCACCAAGGGAAACAAAACGTTTCCTCACAATGTCTACAAGCTTTACAGGCCTGGAATAATGGAGCAAAATACCAGTTGGTGAATGTCCTAATGAAGTTTTGAAATACAATGAGCAAAATATGTTTTAACGACATTGATCCAAGCTTTTTTGAGAAAACGAAAAGGAAGATAAGCTTCTGAAATTTTGTAAATCAAGCTTCATCACATAATGGCATATAACTGAAGAATAACTACAGTGAGGTCTGCTTAAAAGAAAGAACAACCCGCAGATACATTAGTTATTTCCCCAAGAATGAAGCATACTTTTGTCTACAGAAAAAGAGGCTTCCTAACACTCAAATAAGGATGAAAATTTGAAAGCAAAACTGAAGTTTGCACAATCTTCTGCCTCTGCTATTAATCTTTTCATAAAGATTTACTCAAATCTTGTGTTGCACCTAGGAGGATTTTATATCCAACCCACATAATGTTCGAAATTTCCCATCTTCAATAGCCATTTGTTTTCCGCTAAATTATAGCTTATAGGAACATTTGATGCCTTTTCTTATGAAAGAAAAAGTAACATAAATGAATGAGAGAACTTTCAGTTCTAATATGCAAATAAAAAAGACAAGATAAAACAGAGTTTCCATGCAATAAGTAAAATAACCAGCTGTCTCTTTCAGCAAAACAAATAAGAATAATCTTATTAATGGTAAAAGGAAAGAGAAGCTGTTAGCAGAATTTGTGTTTGTAACTTTTTTATTTAATGTCACAATGAAACTTGGTACAAATATTAAACACATCAACAGGTAAAATCCAGAAGAACAGATCTGCCTTTTATTATTTGTCTACAATGCAGATTCAAAAAGGAAAATTACTCACGAGACACCCAGGTTAAGAATGTCTTCTACCCAGATCTCACCCTTATTCTCAAATCCACATCTGTTCTGCGCAGTTGATGAAATGAAAAGAAAAGATAAACATAAGTATAATAGCATCAGGACTCAAGGGTGGCAATGCAAATGAGATTCAGGACAAAAAAGGGAGGGGGGGTTGAAGGAACTTTCACGAATGGAAAACTGTTTGCAAAATAAAGAAAGTGCTTGGTAGTGAAAGTCAAGTAGAGTTTGACAGAAAACTTTCAAGATGCCAACTACAGAATCTATAGTTGGAGCCAACATAAATCAGCTAACTTTAGAAACACTAACTAATTCATGAAGTTCAGGAATTAACAGGATTGAATGACACGGCAGTAGCTTCATCAATGTCATCTTCATCCAAAATGCCGGCTTCTACAAGTTCCATTAACTCTTTCCTTGAGATATTCCACTCTTGTTCCCTCTAAAATCAAAATATCATTAACATCTCTTTCAAGTAAGCATTTTGAAGCAAATTATTCATCCTATAAAGATCTCTAGAATGAAATCTATGCAAAACCTACCCCTTTTAATATATTTCTTTCCACAATACTGACTTTAAGACCTTTGGCACTCAAGGCAGTAGCAATGAAGATTCCCAAAGTACCCCCACAAACTACCACATCACATTTATCCACTTCTTTTTCAGCAAGAGCAGAATGGCTAAACACACCAGGAAAGCTTGAAACTACCTGTTGTGGTTCTTGCCGAACTGCAAAGAGAAGTGAAGGTTAGCTTTACCAATTTTAAAACACAACACTTAAACTTTGCTTCACAAAAAGTGACATACCAGTCTGAGCAGAGCAGATGCTTGACCAAATTTTGTCCAACCTCTTCAAGGCATTATAGGAGTACGTACCACCAGCACCACCAACCTCACCACTGACTGAAATGCTCTCCATTATCCTCTGCAAGATTGAAAAGTAATGATTTAGAATCAATTGGCCTACAAATAATCTAATACTCCCTGTGTTACATACTTGTGACACATTATGTATTCCCTTGAATCCACCAATCAAATCTTTTCTATACAAACAACTAAATCATTATAAACCCTGGGTTGTAGTCTGTAGACACTAACAAACTATTGCCTATACAACCAACAGTTTTATCCTTTCACTTCGTCATGATCTTGGGAAAGAACAGGAATTAAAGGAAAGTGTAATTACCTGGGTTCTGGACGGCACTGCTTGTGTTTGTGCTCTCATGTAAATAATATTCCTTAGAGCTCTCTGCCTCTTTCTGTAAACCAATGGAGGTTTTGATGGATATCGAGAGACACCATTTAAGGGTCTCAGCGAGACCATCACCATGCTTCCAGAGAACATGTTGAAACCAAACCACAGTAACTTCTAAGCTTCTCTATTTTTTATCATCAAAATTTTCAAAACGGGAAGCTGTGTAAGAGAAGTGGACACGTTAACGATTAATTGTCTTTATCTGCTTGAATTCAATTGTTGTGCAACCCCTTCCCCCAACACCCCCCCCCCCCCCATAAAAAAACAAAGAAAGAAAGAAATGACCGAGAGAACCGGTATCAGGTAAGTAAGAGAAAGTAAGAGCTAATTGTGACAACTAAAGGGTTACGTTTTCGTGGATAAAAACCTCAGCTGAAGCCTAAAGGGGTTTTAGAAACTGGTTCACTTTGTTGCTTAGTGTTCATCTAGGTCGGTACAAGTTTGAATATATACTTCAACAGGTAAAAGAATCCAACCCTATTTTATGGGGGTTCTCTTCTGAATATTTTTGGGGGTTTATCTTCATTATCTATGCCTGTGTATTCCTCTGTTTGGTGTCTAAGAAAATCTGGGAAAGTGGGGAGGCAAAAGATCGTTTAATCCTCATCAATATTGTTTGTGGATTATTAAAATTGGAACCAAGAATTATGTAATTATGTGTACTCTTTATTTTCTTCTTTCTTGAAAGAAATTGGGCTTAAGAATCTGCAATTTGCTCATATGTTTATAAAATGCTTGGTAAAAGTGATGTCATAATCAATTGAACCAGTAAGATAAATGTTGAAGTAATTTTCCCCTGGTTCTGAGAAATTTTAACCCATATCACTTGATTTTTTTTTCATATAGTTTCGTGTCATCCTGTCATATCCTAAATTAGAAGATCTAGTTTTGACTTAAATATTTGGCTTGTCTTAGCTCATTCTCGATTTAGGACAACAATCTACTTACACAGTCTCGATGTACGATAACAATTTTGGATTAATCCTTATTTGTGGTGTTGATAACTTCTCTATGACTCCACAGTGATTATGCTTCAAATTTGCAGGTAGGAATTCAGGATATGGCAAGCATGATATGTAGTCCAACTCTTGGGTCCTTCTCTTTCAAGAGAAGCGGCAGACCCAACAATAGTGTTGGGGCATCTTCATGTTGTGTTGTAAAAGCAATGCGGATTGAGAAGCCATTAGAGGAATTGTACAATGTGAGGGTAGAAAGGAAAGTGTCAACAGAGCGACTAACACAACTTGGGGTTTCAAGATGGTCAATATGGAAGACAGGCAAGTGCAAATTACCGTGGGACTGGCAAGTTAATCAGCTGGTTTACATTGAGGAAGGGGAGGTAAGGGTTGTGCCTGAAGGCAGTCAGCGCTTTATGCGATTTGTTGCTGGGGATCTTGTTTGTTACCCGAAGTGGTTCGAGGCAGATCTTTTCTTCAATGGTCCATACCAAGAGCGTTATAGTTTCCGAGCATATGGGGATGACTAGTAATCATTAAATCTGTGTTATTCTTCTAGTGTATTTAGGGGGTGAGATATCAATAATTGAAATTTGCAACCACCATCTGCCTTCCTTAAATCTCATCTGTGCTGTAAGAAATTTAATTACATTGAGAATGGAACAGCTTATTCATTCGACAACATTTGTTCTTGTTAGCAGTCACTGGTTGCAGATGAGTATGAAATTCGATTTACACATGCTTGGTTTCACGTTTCATTCCTAGGCTGGATACTAGCAGTATTAGTGTAAAACAGGATTGTGATTAGAGCATGCGGTTAGTGGAGGAAAGAAGTTACTGGGGTTGTCTTTGGTGGACTCTAAGGTCTGTTGCAATTAAGTAGCGACAGAATCAGAATCCTTGGCAAGGAGGTGGGAAGACGAGGAAATGAGAGAGATGACTGGATTGAATATGATGAGGGTAACAGGCATAAGTTAGGAGATAGATCAGTGACAAAACGATTGGCTGTTTGTTAAAAGCAGCGCGGTGAACAAGGTATGCTAGAAATTGGCTGAACCATGCTTCCTAAGAGATGATATCTAAGGCTAGATTAGGATTTATTGTTTTGCGATTTAAAAAAAAAAATTGACTTAAAAAAAAGTGTTTAAAAATGTAATAAGAAAAATATAATTAAAATTTTTTAATATTTAACATTACTGCAAAATGTACTGTAAATAATTAATATATCTAAAACAACGTATATCCAGAAATTTTTAAATGTTCTGTTCTTAATAAAAACCAAATAAGAAAAAAATTACCTAAATCAAATTAAATATTACAATTTCGAATATTATTTTACTTTTTAAATTTTTTTTCTCACCATAACTACAGCAACCATAGTGGTAGACCTGAAGAGAAAATAAACCACAATAGTCCTAATGTACAAATATGTTAACCCCCTTAATGCCAGTGTTTTACAAAGCCGAAAACAGCTGGTTGTTGAGATGACTCACATCTACTGCATTGAATTTGAGACCATGTTCATAATAGTTTTCTTCGTACCATGAAACATCATTCAAAAGCCAAGCAGCAAAGAACAGTGCAGCCAATAGTCACATATAAATATAGGACTGGGGTGTGCAGAAAAAAAAAATCCTTGCATCATTACAAAAAAAACTACCAATAATGAATAATTTCTGACAGTAAATCCAACGAACTAATCCCTTATGATACACACACTTGCACCTCCATCATGGAAGAGGAAGGGGGTATGGGAGAGGAGAAAAAAAAAGATAAAAAATGAAAGCTTAATATCCATAGAGCCCCACCGTTTGTCATTCAAGAGGTTGAGACTCAGCTGTTAAAAACCGAAGTGACATCAACCGATTCCCATGGTGCACCATTTTCTACACCCAGGATGATTTCACTATGATGGATGTGAATGATTTCTTACAAATTACATTTGTTGCGTCTCTCAACTGCCTGCCATTGCCTTTGGACTTGTGCTGGTGGCGATGGCAATGGAAGAGACAAATCTTGAAACCAGTACAACCTCATCGCTTACAGAGGTAGACGCAGCCACATCTTCCAACTGCTTCCAGGTTAGCTCTCGCTTCTCCTGCATCTCTTTTTCCTTCACTTCATCTTCTTGGAATTTGACCAAACATTCATCAAAGAGCGATTGATCAGCATCCGAGAATATCTTCCTGACATTCAGCGTAAGACTCTGAACTGCCTGGTTCCAATGGCCACTTATGTTTCCCTCCAATGCTGGGAAGATTATAGGGAGTATTACTATGCAGTTCTGGTTAATCAGATTTCTTATGTGGTCATTGTTCCACAAAAACAAAGCTCGTTCAGCTACCTGCCAAAATAACATGTTATAACAAATTAAAGTATTCCATGAATCTTACAACAGCAAAAAATTGCAAGTACAAAACTCTGCTCAAATCAAATCAGATAGCAAGCAACTATAATGATTAAAGCATGTAATTTCCACAGAATGGATAACTCTTCTCCTTTAACTTTCACTTTGAACCCAGCGCAAAAGGAACTACTTAACAGAACAAGTGTAGCCATTACTCAAAATTTCCCGTTAATCTGTCCTGCAGGGGCACTCAAATTGAATCAGTGATCCATTTCTAGGTTTTGCAACAATGAAACCAGGGTTATGGACCCAAATCCACCAGCATGGAACATTCATCTTCAAGCAAGAATGCCCTAATCTATGACAGTTCAAAAGTCCTTTCATTGCTGTGGAAGGAGAAGCTATTTACATGTGTTTAATTCATTTAAAAATATTAGAATAGGATCAACCTTTTGGAACAAAGAACATGCAACTCACTAGCAGGGTTAAATTGCCATCTCCTTCCACAGCAAAATCACTAGCATTCTCTTGACTCTAAATATAATAAAGTACTCATCAAAAACATATCTGGAATTCTCGTCGTAAGTATAGACAGTAAGATTGAAGCTCAGCAGATATGCATTCATAGTCTAGACAACGTTGATATCTTCTGGGGTCAAATACAACATCATCCCCCTGAAATTAAACATACTAATCAACTCTTGGCCAAAAACAATATATTAGTCAACTTATGCCCCAAATGTAAAACTACAACAATGTCTACCCCAGACGAAAGACACTCTGTCATGCTTCATTCCATAGACACCATCAAAATTATATTTCTCAGAGAAGATGTAGCTCGGTGTAAGCATTGAGCAGAAAGAAAGGGAGAAAAAAGAAGCAGTTGCTTACAAACTATTTATGGAAAGTTATCAGTTATCTGGCCTAGTGAGGTATGAATGCCCAGTGCCTAACTTGTGTTTTCTTTTAATTATAGGCTAATGTGCTTTTCAGACAATTCCATTTTCTTATTATATCTGTAAATTTCCCCAATCACAACCAGATCCAATTCAGTCCTTTCCTTAACCAAGAAACTAAAATCACCTTAGATTGATCTACAAAAATCCTACATCCTTACCTGACCAAAAGATCCGAAATTCTATTATTTAAGACGGAAAGTTCTTGCAACTTGTTTTATAATTCCAGAGAACTTTTGTCCCCAAACAAAATTTTGAACCCGTTTCACTTAGTACAGGAGCTTATGTCTAACAAATTCTTGCACCAGTTGCACTACTACAGGAGCTTAAGTTTAACAAATTATACATATAGAAGGTGGACATTGACCAAAAGGGATTCTTTTGGGTGTAAAAGTTTTCAGGTGCACATTGACACTAACTTTAAACATGACGTAGTTATGTGAATGACCTATCTTATTCTTCCATAATTGCTAAATTCCAAAAACCATGTTTTACAACATTTCCAAACTAGATGTTCAAATCATCAATGTCTTGACATCCTCCATTCCAACCAAAGTGCCCAAATGAATTGAATGGGTTCCCATACTTGCAAAAGATGAATGAGACCAGTTTTCTACAAGTGGATGACTCATGCCATGATTGAAATTTGAAAATCATAATCAAAGTCCAAAACAAGTGCACTGATCGATAGAAAAACAATTTGGAAAATATTCCATTAAAAATTGATCATATGATCATTTTTCTGCAGATCATTTTCGTCAAAGGATGGGGCAGCGGCCAGCATCCACATGTATTACAATCTTAGCAAAGCAAATTGGGCAACCCTAGATGAAACAGAGTCTGTGTGTGTGTGTGTGTGGAGGACAAGATAAAACTAAAATGAGGCTTGATCATTTATAACCACACATAAATTGCTACAATCTTGTCCAATAAGAAGAAGAAGAAGAAGAAGAATGTACATCTAACACCACACTGAAATTGGAATCTGCTTCTTCATATTCAAAATGATTCAAACAATAGAGAAAATGTCAATCGCTGATTACAACTGGTGGTAGTGCGGCTTTCAGAATGACTTGGGAGAGAAATCTGAAGTAGATTAGATAAAGGAGAAATTAGGTGATCAAGGATGATTGGAAAGTGAGAAGAAGAAAAAAATTGGTGAGACAAACAAGAGGTGCTTGTCAAGATTGAGGACCGAGGTAGGTTTTAGAAAGGGCAAAATTAACACTCTAAAAAAAATGGTTAAAGTAGGGGTACATCACATTAAGTGGGTACAAGGTTGCTTTAAGTGGCTTAGGCCTAACTATATTGAACACAATAAGATCAGGCAGCCACAAGTTTAAATGTTTTGGCCACATTCAGGCCCTGTTACCATGGTCCTTCAAATTTAAATGCTTGGTTAAATTTGAGCACGATGGTTCCAAGGTTCAACCACTAACTGGTTTGATTTTCAACATATACGAACAAAATTCATTGCCCCCCCCCCCTCCCCCAAATTGAATGCAAGACGCACACTCTTCATGGCATTAATATAAGACATACTTTTTTTTTTTGGTTTCAAATTTGCAACTAAAACATATTAATTAAGAGGCAAGTTAAACATCTAGACAAATAATTCTGTGAGACGTTTGTACCAGAGTACATGCAACATTCTATGACTGATGTCGTTTTATGTCATTCCCATCCTCAGAATACTAGAAGATTATTTTAACACTTAGGCCCCAATCTTTTTAATTTGGCTACTGCACGAACCCTCTAGCAAAGTACTCATCAATGCCAGCAATCCAAACAGCACACTTTCTTCCCCTGTTCAAGTCTTAAAGACCAAAACCTTGTTTCTCATCTACTGCAAGAACTAAAACCAAATACTTTCTCAAGCGTCAGCCCACCACAGGTCAAATAGACAGATTTCTCAGTTTGTCCAACGTCAATATTTCATTCAGGACAAAACAGTGCGTGAATCCTATTATACCAGTAACCTATAAAGTACAGTGTGGGAGGAAAAAAAAGAATCCAACAGCAACATTTTGGGAAGAAAAGAAAAAACAATAAAAGACCCAAAGCAATGAACAAATTGCTATGGTAATGAAGTATGTGATAAAGCAGTCAGCAGAAGAAGGCAAGAAGCTTATAACAAAGTAGGCGGAAGGAACAACAAGGAAAATCTAAAGTACCTGAAAATGAGAGCTGTTGAGGCAGCGAGCAATCTGACGGAAAAGAGGAACCATGCAGCGCTGGAATTCTGCTGCCTGAGTAGCTTCTAGAACTTCTTCCAACTCTCCAAGGAACATTACCTCCTTTGAACTATTAGTAACAGGCCAATACTTTAGAAGGCCTCGGATGACGGTATCAGCCAACTTGAAGTCTTTCTCAACAAACTGAGTAATGCAATAAGAAAGTTGCTGATGGTACATGAAAACACATTTAGGCTTGTGAAGAGGGATCAAAGCTCGGACCAAGAAGAGCTTGTGCTCTTCCTTCAAAGGCAAAGCAAACCCATTTATTATACTCCCCAAGATTTCGAGCAACTCAGCAATACCATTGTGCTTCTCTGTCTCAAAAATAAACCAATAGAAGATATTGTTAATGGCTTTTCTAATAAATGGCCGATGCACCATGAACTTCCCATAAATCCGATGTAGAATTGTCTTTAGATACTCCCTCTCTCTTTGGTCATCAGAATCAAATAAATCCAACAATTTCAACACGAATGAATGGTCGATATATCTTTTAGCAAGCTTGGCATCAGTCTCCGGTGAGGCCACAAATCTAAGTAAAAGTTCATATACAATCTGATGATGAGGCCATGCGGGATCCAAGGCAGGCTCCTCGTCTTCCAAATCATTCATTTCTAGAAGCTTGTTATCATGATTCGGAGGTGGAAATGTTCGAAACAGATTAACAGCCACCATTCTAGTAATGTCTTGCATTGCGACCTCATTGAACTTGGATGTAACCGACGAAATATAATCAACAAGCTCTGACAACGCCTGCCTCTTTATGTCCTTTTCCCTATGGTTCTTAGATGGATCACTAAAATCAAAAACCACACAACACATATTCAACTTCCTATGAAAAAGGTTCTGCTTTTCCGAGCTTGGAACATCCCGGAAACCAGGCAAAGCCTCATAGACCCCTGAAGCTAATATAGAACCCGCTTGGCTTGCAATAGGGGCCGTTTTCTTCCCTTGATTCGATTTATTCGAACTGGATGAATATGAATTAAGAGTCCCATTGTTCAAACGTGAACCGGAATTCGAGGATTTCGAAGAAGCTGAACCGGGTTTTGAGTTGTTTAAAGAATTGGGTCCTTGAGAAGGGTTTGAAGAGGAATTACCACTGACTCCTCCATCACCATTTGAATCATTTTGAGATGATTTCGATGGCTTGCGAGGCAGCTTTCCTAATATCTGTTTTATCATATCTACAAAATCCCTAACCCTAACCCTAATCCAAAATTATCAAAGATTCCAACTTGAAAGACCTCAGATTATAGACATTTCTTTTACACAAGCAATGGAAAGTGAAGATTTGAATTTAAAAGAAAACGGATATATATATATATATATATATTAAAAAAAAAAAAACTCTAGTCAGAATCTAACGCGTTTAAAATTAAGATTCAGTTGATAAAAATAAAAAAATAATAAAATCAAAAGGCTACTGGAAGGAAGGAATCAAAGAAGATGAAGGTGTTTTTCAACTTCCATTCGATGAAATAATTGCAGAGATCCAAAAAAAAAAAAAAAATAGCGCGAGAAAACGAGATAGAAGAAAAAGGAAAGCAGAACAAGAGAAAATTAAAGCCCCTAAAACGATCTCCAATCAGATAAACCCTAAAAATCAGTTCGATTCAAGAGAGAAGCGAGAAAAAAAAAGTAAAAAGTACGGGGCAAAAAGGAAAAGAACAGAAAAAAAAATAGAAATTAGATAATGCCTAGTGATGCAAAAACAAATGTAAAAATAGTAAAGGAATTAAGATCCTTCCTTCTCTCTGTTAATGGGATTTAAATTTCTGTTTGTATGAAGGGAAAATAAATGCAGAAAAAAGCATGGGGAAGTCGAGATTTTTGGACAGAAGAGAAAATTCAAAAAACTGAGACATCAAAAAATAATAATAAATAATCCTAAATTTTGATTTAAGCTTGACCAGTTATTATGATGCAAATGGACCCCCATAGCATCACATATACTTGGGAGGTCAGGAATGAGGATTTGGTCCCCTTTTTCTAATGTGGTTTTGACTTCATAACTGTCATCTTCTTTTTTTTTTTTTTTTTCCTCTGTTGATTCTTCCTGCCTAATATCATATATGTATTTTTTTTTTCAGTGGTTGGGATATTTTCACTTTTTAGTTGATTTTGTTATTATTTATTTACAGGATTTTGATTCTTTCGAAATTGAATCAAACCGAATGGTCTTTTTAAAATTTATTCAATCAAAATTGAATTTTATTTTTTCCGGTAATTGGTTCGTTACTTGAATTTAAAATTTTTAATTTTTAAATATTTTAATTTATTTACTTATATTTAGCAATAAAATTATTTAAAAAATAAAACATAATATAAAAATTAATAAAAATGAAATTCTATTTGGTTAAGATAATTTGGATTTTCAGCTTATTGATTGAAAAATCAAACTGAATTGAATTGGTACATTTTGTGATTGAATTGAATAAAACAAAAACCACAATTCTGGAACACATATGAACAAAAAAAGTGAAACTATCATATTTTGCGTACGTGGAGAAAGTTTTTGGAAACTTGGGTTGAAAACAAAACAAAGCGGCTGGAGGAGGAGCAGGAGAAATGGAAAGCAAGGGCCAAAGGTAAATGAAGCATATTATGTGATGTGAATCAGGAGATTAGGAAGCAGTGCACGTGCATGGATTGCAAAGTTATACATGCCACGCATACAGCAGACTGCAACAGTCTTGACTCTTAGAGGTTTGATTTGTTTTCCTGTGAGGTTAATTCAACACAATTTACAAGTGGTAGTCACAGAGAATGAACCACCGCCACAATGCCACGCTCCAGGCTCCACCCTCCTTAAATTTATGCACCGTGTAATTATGTAGGGAAATGCTAGTGGCAGTCGTCCCCACCATTACTCCTACATCCCCCCTTGAACACTCGAAACACTCATAAATACAAGGAATCTAGTCATACGCTCATACTCACTTCAAACTTCGAAATCAACAATGGTAGAAAATAAGTATTCTTACTTTCTCAAAGAGGGAATGAATGAATGAATGCTGTTTTCAGTGAACATTCAGATGCCAATTTCAAAGTCTTAGTGGATTTGACGCGACTGTTTATATGTGTAAATGTTTAAAGGATGATGGTAGGGACGACTGCCCCTGCCATTTCTCAATTATGCCATCCAGAAATCTACTAAAGCTAAAGCTACTTCTATCACTCACGCCCACTGGATTGGAATTCTTTTAGTAGATTTTAATATAAAAAAAGACGGGGGGCCTGAAATCTTTTCTAAGGTTCAATCCTACAGGCACCAACTTATGGAATTGGAACTTGGAAGGTCTACCTGCAATGACCCTAATCTAAGGCATAATAAACAGCTAAAATCAACCTTAGAGAAAGTACGAAAATGCTGGAAGAGTGGTGAGGCAATGGGCTAGATGTGTCTCTCCGGTCTTGGGCTATACTATAGCAGTATACCATACCCCTGTTATGTTCCATGGCATCAATATCATCAGAAACATGGGGAGTTTTACCATGCATCTGTTCATAATACTGCCCTTTGAAATACAATCTGTGTTCTGATGAAAGAGATAACGCCTCGAACTTCAATAACCTCAAAAAACCCAATTGACCAAAGCTATTTTGGCACCACTTCATGCCAGAAAAGAAAAAGAAAAAGGCTTTTTGCCCAACAGAAGGGGGTTGAAAGGATAATCTTAACCTTCTGGACTCAACAACTGTGGGGCAAAAAACAACAGTAGGAAACAATCCTGTGTCTCTGGATCTTTATATCTAGTTTCAGTTGTCATCAGTGCATGCCGCAGATCACCATAAACCTCAAGCAGAGGTAAGTATCTTCAAGCATCTAAAGGCAAATGGAACAATCATAGAAACCGGAAATTGTGAAATAACAAAAGAACCGAAGGTTTCCCCAATTTTTAAGTTTAATCCATTGTTATGGTTCGCAGCTTATACTAAGATGACATTTTGCATGGATCATTGACCACAAAAGTCATCTCTTAAGTTCAACCACGCATACAAACATGAGAACATGGTAAATTATGAAAGAAGCCTCTCTGGTTTGTGCAATCACAGTATCTTCTCTGCACTGTACAATTCCACAAAACAAACAAGAACAACAATAGTCAAGCTAATGTGCAAGAAAATCGGTACCTCCTCGTTGTGTGTTGTGGTAATGGTTATCTCTTTCTACGCTTGGCTTCCACCTAAGCCAAGAGAATAAAATATATGATCAGATACATGGCCATATCAGATTGCTAAAAAGGGAAAGGGAAAAGAAAGGATAGATGGTTGTCAAATAAAGCATTAGACGAGGTATTAGACTGAAACATACAACTGAATTTTTTAAATTAATTATCATGAAATCCCGCTTCCCTTCCGGATACCAAAGTATCAAGGTAAATGATCTCTTGTAATAATTAAATCTATTAAAAAATTCTAACTGGTAGTTTTTCCTTATACTTGTTCATGCCTTCAAGCATTGTAGAAAGTAATAAAAGGTTTTATCTCCTTAATATGAGGTTAATATGTAACAAAAATTATGAGGTTAAAAACTAAATCCTTTCTTATTGTTCATCAACATTAAAAACTAAATCTATTCTTATTGTTCATCATCATTCTATGTGGAAAACCATATTAATGATATAGTTAATTTAAAGCCCATAAATGCGTGTACATGCAATAGAAAAAGTAGCACAAAATCTGTTCAGATCCATAGCATGCCATCAGGCAATTCTGACTATAGGCTATTGATACTATCAAACCAAAGAGAAGCTTGAGGAAATTCACATAAATTTCCAGATTTTTAAAGGCACCAACTCTTAGAAGAAGCATTGTTTTCCAAAAATTCTTTGAAGGATAACATTTTTGGATTTATACTTGCTTAAGATTTCCAAAATAGTCAGGGAAGCACTCTATGATCCTCACCTGAACCATGTAATTTTAAGGCAAGAATACCATAAAAACCATTAAGATAAAACATCCATATTGAAGGAGCAAATAATAGATCTACCGACAAGTACTGGTAAAATCAAGCAAATGATAAGTATGCTGGTTTTGGATGGTTGGCAGACATCTATTTTATAGTCTGATAAGGAAGCTCTTCTTATGGATAGATGTCAAATTATCACTTAAGCCCCATTCCAGTTAAATTATGATCATCTCTAAAAAGTTGCCAAATGCCAAACCATCATCAGCATCTCTTAAGATTTACTACTATATGGATATATACATATATGAAAACATATTTTTTTCTAACATTACAGTTTGACAGTGCTTGATGTGAAAGAATAAGTGAAATAAGAAGAAACCAGGATCTCAAAAAAGAAAAGTACACCACATAGACTGTAACAGAGTGAATAGTGCTCAAAACCTTCTCCACCAAACATGTAATTATGAGCCCCAAAATAACTGAAAGAGAGATATAAGATGTGTACACTTTACAATTGCAACCAATAGAACTGTCTAAAAATCACACTTAAAAAGTTCAAACCTTTGAGCTTTTTTACTCAAAAAAAAAATTCTCTACCTAAAAACAAAAGCATAAATGAATGTACACACACACAAAGCAACAGTTAGCCAACATTCAGAGTAATTAAAACTTTGCAGCCAGCATGTTGACCTATGTTATCATCACCATAAAACTTCACCCTCATTAAAGATAAAGTGCTGTTTTAGTATCCCTAAGAAATTGTAGAATTCCTTTTTCAAGTTTTGTTATATTTGAAAATCTATTATTCTCCTACATTTGTTTTTACTGTCACTCTCACATTCACAAAAGGCAGTGGCAACCCGAAGATAGGGAGTCACCAGCTAAAATCAAGTATGCTTCTCTTTGCAATTGACATTCACCCTGTTTAGTATCTACTTTTTCACTGAAAGTAAAAGAAATCAGGGATCGCATTACCAGCACCATGGTGCTAAATGTCCAATTTCTAATATCGGAAAGTAGTTTAGATTGATGTAGATGACAGCCCTGGGACAAATAATTTTGGGAATAATGATGACACTTGTCTAGTGCAGCCTACTGGTCTAGCTATTATACAATTATATATTAAAATTATACCCAAGTTAATAAATACAAATTATTAATGCCGCTTCTAGAAGTTGAAAGAACTGTTACAAGTTCCAAATAATATCTGTTGGCAGATTGACTTGAGTAATGCACATAGACCAAATCATTGCAAGTATAATTCTAACATTGAATTTGATCCCATTCAATGATAAACATATTTATTTTCATCCCTAAATAACAACCCCTCTATCTCTAATAATTTTGAGAACCCTCTCTCTAATGACGGCCGCAGGACATAATTTTGCAAATAATGTTGAGACTTGTCTAGTGCAGCCTACTGATCTAGCAATTATGCACTTTACATATTAAAATTATAATCAAGTTAATATATACAAACTATTAATGATGCTTCTAGAAGTTGAAAAAAATGTTACAAGTTCCAAATAATATCTGTTAGCAGACTTACTTGAGTAATTCACATAGAAAGACCAAATCCTTGCAAGTAGAATTCTAACATTGAATTTGATCCCATTCAATGATAAACCATATTTGTTTTCGTTCCTAAATAAGAACCCCTCTATCTCTATCTCTATCTCTATCTCTTTTGGGAAAAGGGAGGTTCACTGTTGGAGGAAGAAGGGATTGATCTATTTAGGGATGGTGCTACACCATGATGACTGGTGCAACTAACCCCATGCAAGTTTCAAATTTTACTTTAATAAATACTGTTTCATAGTAAATACTTAGATCACGTTATTTTTTGGATCTGACCCCAATATCACACAAGAGTATCGTCAATACAAAATTTCCTTGAGTGAAGAAAAGACAACAAAAATTCTTTAAATTGTTTGATTATTACATATTTTACGATCTTGATGCTCTATGTATTTTGTTGCTAGTGCTACTTCTAAGTTTATTTATATATTTTATCACTGCTTATTGCTAATATATAGATATATAATATAAATGTCATCATTTGGCATATTCCCAACATATTGTCTCCTACTTTTTGAAGATGAATGTCTCTCTGGGGTGTATATCATGCATCCTTATCTAAGCTTTGTAGCTGAAGAAAACTGCTATATTAGTCAGTCAACATTCTACTTTTGGTACGAGTCCTTGATCAATCGAGTAAGCTTATTCTAATCCAGTGGAGAATAAGAAAAACCAGGGCAAGGTGGCAGTGGGAAAGGGGGAACACAGTTTACTGAAAGAGATGCTTCCTTCATTAGGAACATAAGCAAAAGGCATTAAGAATCTATTCTCATAATTAAAAAAAAAAATCCCAAGACTCTTATCTAGTAGGGGAAAAGGGAAGAAAGAAAGGACTAGAAAGTATCTACAACAGGAAACTGCAAACAGGATATGATTGGTTACAGTTTGATCTGGTGGAAAAAGTCCTTGGAACTAACAGCTGCATTGCAGGAGCATCATCAAAAGATAATGACCACTGGTCTAACATAAAATATAACTAAATCCTCAACAACTAAATGTAGTAACAAAAAGCATGGAACAAAACATTTTTGTGTACACACTCAAAACTGCAAACATAAATGATCTAACCTTTGCCTCAAGGGATGGTGATACTGGGAATGCATTCAAAGATCTTTTGGCATCATCCTCTGAAGAACAATCTGAACATAAAAACTGATCCAATTTTTTTGCTTCTTCGATGGTCATACCCATGCAGGAAGGATGAAACCTGAAAACATAATAATGTTCAATCAGGAAATATGATAGCTGGTATTCTTATTAATTCATATAATTGCAATTCCCATTACATGTCAAAGATGAAACACCACCATATGCAGAGATATTTCCATATATTTATACGCATGACAATGGAAATCATTGGCAACGAACAGAGAAAAATACTAAACATACTAACAGACCTAAATAACTTGTCTCCAACCAAAAATGTTTTTCATTCTAGCAAGAGTACTCCAAAATTAGTTGAGGTTAAGGCATAGAAGAGGCAAATAACTCATGCAAAGTCCCTTGAAGTCAACATTGTTCATTCAATTGTTTGAACAAAACAATCTACTTACCAACTAGCCAATAATACTTCCAGCCCATATATACCCAGAAGTGGCTAAAATCAAACTCAGTGATGAGTTATATCGGAAGACCAATTTTCTATAAGAAAAAAAATGTAAAATTGAAGCTAGGCAATATTAGTTAAAAGGTTAAATACATTACACTCGTAAAGGCACACTCAAAATGTTTGAGCTCTACTAGTCTTAACGGGCACAACTAAGGCACAGTATGCTACATCTTGTAACATAATAGAATTCAAACTCATTTTGTTCTTAGTGAAGAAGAGCTTTAGCAATCTTCAGAAGACTCTTGTAAAACATGTTTACTTTTCTTTGTCTCCAGACCAAGATGCAAGATAAGCCCATTGCTCTTCTCATTGTAGTTTTATCTTTTGTGAGATTAAATGACCTTGAAGATTAAGCCATAAATAGTTAAGAGTTAAACAGTCAAATGTAACATTTTGCAGTGCAAGCTAAAACTTCAATAATTTCTTCACTTGAGGTATTTCAATAATCTAGTGAAGTCTAAAGTTTTAAGGATATCTAAAAGTCCTACTAAGCACTATGTTGATTGACGTAGTCTTTTATGTGCTTAATTAAGCCGCTTTCCTGAGTTTAAGATTCAAACTTTCACATTTTTCTGTGCAGATCATTAACTTCTACTCAATCATGTTAGAAATTTCTTTGCTTTTTAGCGCATTTATATATAAATGCCAATATTCTTTTCCACTCTATTTTCTCCCTCAATGTTTTTCTTTTCCTTATTTAAATTTTCTATTCTATTCTTTAGCTCTTTACTACAATTTTTTCTAATGGATTTGCAGCTAATTTAAATTTCCCAATTGTAGAAACAATAAATCTCACTCTCCCAAATGATAAATATCCTTAAAACAACTTAGATCCATCCCACAACATTTCCTTCTATAAATCACCTAAAAATTTCTAAACTCCACTACTACCAGGTATTTAAGGCAAGTAAATTCCTTCCTTCCAGCCACTCTTTTGCCATAAATAATTAATCAACTAAAACCTTATTTGGTTCCTTAGCCATGAACTTTTATCTAAACTCTAAACCTTATCTAACTCTAAATAACAAATTTTTCTCAAACTTAACCTCTAAAAAAGCCAAGAACGAAACATCAATGAAAGCCCCCCCCACCCCACCCTCAAAAAGAAATCAGTCAAGAGGTTTGCCTCTGCAGGAATATTACCAACATGTGAAGTATGAGTTACAAAAAAGAAACACGGACAAGTGAACCAAATGTAAGATATAATCTGTTTGAGCCTACCATGACAGAAGGGGTTTTACCATGTTAAACAGTGAATTAGGTAAGATGAAGACCAAGAGAAGATATTACACGTTAATGTAGAATGTTAATATGGGAATGAACCATGTTAGAAGAAAACAGAGAAGTGAAGTTAGATCAGATGGCATTATCAGACCTACTCATGGATTCCTAATGGTGAAATAAAGAGTTTCTCTTTACGATTGGAACTGAAGCTGATCTAGCTCATATTTATCCATGTTTTAAAAATGAATCTACTATTACAGTTCAGCAGCTTGCTAAAATGCCTTAAATTAATTTAATTGCCTTCCAGTCCCTATAAACCGTGCTTTATAGGAATTAGTTCATATATAAAATGCCAAATAAAATAGGACCCATATAAGTCATTATAGAAAGTAAACTTTGGAATACCAAAAGATTATTTATACAAAAATGATTACGTAAATGTACAGTACCTACAATTCAATTACAGAAAACTCAAATTAAATGGCAATTCTTTTATCATTGTATGTTCCATATTTGCAATGGAAGAAAACAAAATATATGCAAATATCCTTTTGCACATTATATATAAGTACCCAAAAACAGAAACTTTTTAATGAAAACAACCGAATAGGATTAACATATTATATATAAGACGCACAAGCAGTCAAGTTAAACAACTTAGAAAGACTTAAAATTAAACATGAAACGCATCATTGTCATGACGTAACTATGAATTTTGAACAAATTAAATGCAACATTAAATTGAAACTCTTTCAGCCATAGATCACTACAAGACCACTAAAAATAAATGAATTCAATCTACAGTTCTACACACACATAGGGGAAGTTTACATTCCATTTTAATTACACAGTGAAATAAAGTGAGTAACAAGTTTACCAATCCTTGCATCCCTCACATTGTACCATGAGGTCATCTGGGTTATATGGCATCTCACACTTGCAATACCTTCAAAAACCGAAACCCCATGAGGAAAGAAAAAAAAAAAACACATCAATCAATAAATTAGTGAACACACTCTAAAAATACATAAACACTGGAAAATTTTACCCGAAACTCAACCCAAAAACACAAGAAAAATCCAAACTCACACTGCCACACGATCCGGAGTGAAGCCACCAGTGGCAGCCTTATATTCGAACCTACAAAAGTAATCTTCAGCACCAACGTTTTCAAGCTTAGTATAGTTTTTGAAACTGTGAACTATACACTTTCCTTCAATGGTGTGTGCACTTTGCACATCATAATGGTCAGATAAAAAGAGTTCCTTGGCACCATGGAACTGTCGTCTCCCTCCTATAGACTCCTCCGGACGATAGTACCATCGAACTCGAACCTTCACGTTGTTCCGATGATCAGCCTCGATCTTCTCTACGCGTGCCACGTACGGTGGCTTATCAGAGTCCGACGGTCTCATCAGCACACAATCACCAGCTGCAAAACAAACCAAATATCAAAGTCAAAACTTTTCCACAGCCAAAAATATTTCTGGGTTTTAAATTTTAAGACCCAAAAGGTTCAAAAAAATCTAAAAAGCATAGAAAAAATTTTAGGGTTCTTCTAAAAAAAAGATTTATGGGGTTTTTCTTTTCAAATGAGAAAGGGAAAACTACAAGATGGGTTTTGGGAGAAACATACGTCGAACAACTTTGTTGGTCCCTTTGATAGTGTAGGAATCAAGGTCCTTTTTGCCAGGTTTGGTCTTGGCCATGAAAGGGTTCTTGTTTTACTATTATTATTATTAAGAAACAAACTGAGGATCGGTCCTTTGAGAGAGGAATGTGAATGAAAATGTGAGAAAGATGGGATTTTTTTAGGGTGATTTCTTTCAAATGGTCGAAAGAAAAGAGAGAATTCAAGAGAAGCAGGTGGAGGTTTAAGGAATTTGAGACAAAGAAACAAACCCTAGGCACTGGGAGAGATAGGACTGTATTGAAAGAGAAGATACAGAGGAGAGAGAAAAAAAAAAAAAAGAGCAGTGACTAATTTTTGCTGGATGTGACGTCACGAGAGAGGAAAAATAGAGTGGATGACACGTCAACATCACCATGATCTAGCCATGCTTTTGCATGCTAACTATATATACAGTATATTTTTTTATACTGTGCTCTACATAGTTAAATATACATACGTATATTTTTTTTATATATAATTTTTAAAATATTTTTTTATCCAATTTGATGTATAGTCTCATAATAATAAAGTTAGGGCTGAGTAAATAATTAGATCGATTAATTTAATTGTAAAATTTGAATAATCAATTTCATTCATTATAAAAATCAAATCAATCATATATATAAAAAAATTAAAAAAAATAAATCAAATTAAGATTATCGATTTCAATTCTTAAATTAATCGATTTTAATTTTAATTTTTTATATTAAATATATGTAATCATATTATTAAATATACCTACATCATATATTTTTTTAATTATTTATTTTATATTATATCAGATATTTTAATTTATTTGATTTAAATATTTTAAAACTTAAAACCAATAATTTTTATTATTTAAATAAAAAAATTTGAAATATTCATATAATTCGAATTTTTCAATACGGTTTTCTCTAAAAATTCAACCTTTTTAATTTTCGATTTTAATCAAATTTTGCTTAACCCTAAATAAAGCTATAGATTCCGATTGAACTGATGTAATTGGCCTGTTCGATCTGATATTTAAAACATTACTGTCTCAAAAAAGAAAAGAAAAAAGAAAACCATTAAAGTTTAAACCTAAGAGCTATGAGCAGATTCGACACCACTAAACAGTTGTTTTGGTGTATAATGCACGGAGAGGATAAAAATGTATTTTATTATTGCTGATTCGATAAGAAAAAAATTAATTTAAAAAATGTGATTGAAAAGTATTATAAAAAATTATTATGAAAAAAATATAATTTAAAATTTTTGAGTATTTGGTATGATGTTAAAATTATTGAAAAATTTAAAATGTTTAAAAATATGTTAAAAAAATAAATTATTTTTGTTAAAAATAAATAATTAAATAAATATTTAATAATTGTATCTTTAAATCATAAATTTTAAATCGTAATTGTACTTCTTAATTAATTTTTGTATTTTTAACATGAATCATAATGTGTAGTGTTTTGAAACCCAAAGAGACGAGAGAAACCTAGGCCCAAGCTACGGAGAGCCCAAGCCTCAGCTTCTTTACCTGAGTGTAGAAGAATTAGCTTCAGACTCCATTTTCATTGTCAAATATTCGAATATCGTTCTTCGGTTAAAGGATTATATACTAACTAATTGAATCAAGTGTTGAATCAACCGTTCAAGTGCATCGCCGAATATTGTATTTAGCTATCATGGAATCGCTTCTATACTCAGAGAAGAAGTGCAAGTGTGTAACAGTCGTATTGAATTTTTTTTCCCTTCATTGAGGGAGGTACTAAGGAATCTTACTAACCAACGGTGTATTTAGCAACCAGTTATGATCACAAGCCATCAACATATAGGAATATAGGAATTTATTTACCTCTATAATCCTATCGTTAAACTTTCTGCCTCTGAGAAATGTACAAATCTTTTGCCAAAAGAAGATACCAAGAGCATTGGACATTTGCCAAAAACAACCAACATCATTGGATATCACGATGATCCACTTGTTAAAACAACTCAAAGACACACTTCCATCTACATATTTTAAAAACTACTTACCTCTTAACCATCCTAATATTTTACATACACTTACCACCCTCTTCATGAGGTAAATCGAAAACATATAAAGGGTAAGTTTTTTTTTTTCAAATTCTGAAAAAGTAATAGGTTTTACACAATATTAGGCATGTAACCTCTCATGCACCTTTTTGTGATTTACCCTATAAATATAGCATAATAACTAACCAATTCTAATGTAATCAACAGCAAATTTTCTCGTCCATCACATGAATCCCATAAGTTTTGAGAAATAGAACAATGTTAAGTTTGCATGATGTATCATGGAGTCAACGAGTTATGGAGCTAAAAAAAAGATAAAAAAAACCTTCGCTAATATTTCTGGATAACAACTGAACTGGCAATGCCAGCCTGCTCTACTGTCTGGTCCAGATCAGTCAGTTGTTTAGGAGGGAATCCCATTGTCAGCAACTGGTAGTTTCCTGCTCCACCAGGTCGTGATGCATCAATGAAGCGACGGACATCTCTGATGGTATGATAGTAGTTGAAGTGTGAGACCATACGTGTACCATCCGCCAACCTCAGCTGAATAGATGTTGTTGGCAATGATGAATCCACAACCAGGCCCATAGATGGAGCCCGCGCAGTGGTGATACTACTGGCAACAGCGGCTGGCTCCGAGGGAGTAGCACTGGGGGTGCCTGCTGCTGCTGCTGCTTCCTAGAGTTCTTCCAACACCCCGAAATGCAGTTTGGCGCTTCTTTGGTTCCTGCATTAAACAAGGGCAAACAGGAAACGTAATGCAGAAGCAGGCAAAAGAACAAGTATGAAGAACTTATAAGAGTATACATAAAAGACGCACAGAGTAGTTTTCATCCCGCCTAAAAAGGTGAAGATCCACTTTTGTTCTTGAATCAGCTGGTTCAAGCTCTTTCGGACATTGAGACCCCATCACACTCTGCATTCAGAAGTGATTGAGAGAATAAGCACATAGCACCCATAGTGAACAAGAAGCACTAGCAGAAGTACACACGCATGCATAACATTTTAAAATCGAACATCATCAAGAAAGTCGAAGATTGCTCGAATATGTAATCACCTCAACTTTACCTATGAACTAAACTCCTGTAATTCATCAAACACGCAAATATACATATCCAGATACCAATATCACAGCATATTCTTTATAAAGCAAATTTTACATCATCATTACCTCCAAGAAGGCAGCATTGGCAGGATCATCCAGGTGACGCAACGGGCCATCATCAACGGTAAACCCGTTCCTCCAAAAAGTAATATTGTGAGTGACAACTTCAGGTGGTAGCGGAGGAGCAGGTGCCACAGTTTCTCCAGAGAGTAATCTCGCCGTCCCAGTGAAGCTTCTCGTGTTCGAAGACGATGGTCGGAAGTAATCATCAGATCCTTCCACAGCTCCCGCTTGTCTAGCTCGACTAAAAATCGAATCCACATCGTTATGCTTCGAAGGATCTCGAACCACCATCCCACTGTTCATCCAAAAAACCAATTAAGAACAAAATTTTGCCCAATTCACAAAATTAAGGGCCAATTAAAAAACAAAAAGAGAGATTAAATTAAATTAAACCTTTTTTCACCGCCAGTATAATAGTCCTGGGCTTCATCGGAATCGCTGTCGGACCCACCAGGGGGTATCCGATTCAGATCGGCGAGGGTCCGAACGCCACGAGTGCTGTTGTTGCTACCAGACGGCTTCTTATCAGCGTTGCGGCGCGACCGAAGCTGGTAAGGAGGGCGAGAGGGGCGGGCAGGGGAAGGGGAGCGGGAGCGAGAAGGGGATTGTGAGGGAGAGTAATCGGGAGAATCGGAGGGTGAGGCAGTTGGGGAGTTGTTAACGTCGCGGGAAGGAGGTGGCGGGATCGGGTGCGGTTGATGTGCAGCGGTGGAATTGTTGTCGAGGAAAGTCGAAACGGCGGCGTCGAGGTCCCACTGGTGGGATTCTAAGAAGAAAAGGGCTTCTTCTTTGGAAGAAGAAGTGATTTCGATGAAGGAGTTGATTAAAGTTGCGTTTTGATTGGCGGTTGGGCTGTTGGGATTTCCTTGCCGCGGCGTTTCGTGCTCCATTGTCGAATTGTGGGCTTTTTTTTTTTTTTTTTTTTAGAGAATCTTCCAAACTGTGAAGGAAGGGGAAGGATGACTTCCAACTCTTATTTAAGTGAAGTGCTTTGATTTCTCGATGCCGATCGGATTAGAATCAGAGTAGATTTTTAACTCTTTTTGCGTCTTTCGTTTTAACTTGGGATCTATAAAACGACTGCGTTCCCTCTTTGGGATGCTATATCCACGTCGTTCATACGCGGAAGCGTGCACGCTGTCGTTTAGAGGAATGACCAAATGAGAGAACCTTTTTTTTTTTTTTCAACTTTCTTCTATTCAAGAAAATTCTATATGCATTGAAACCACCTTTTTTATTTCTTTTTACAGCAAAAAATTAAAATTTTTTAAGATAAAATTACTTATAAATTAAATTACTTAATTACCCTCATCAACCAGTTTACTTAATTTTTCTTTTCTCAATTCAACCTCAATTCGAATATCTATTTTTGATACTTAAAAAGCTTACTAAGAAATTTCAAATACGCAACTGATAATGGCAAGAAATAATTAACATTGTAGGGAAGGGAACGATTATTCTGATTAAACCTAAAATAGACCTTTTGATCAAAATAAGTATTTTTTTTTAATTTTAATAAAGCTTTGAAATAAGTCTTTATTTGATATAGACCCAAAATAGGTGAAGAATAAAATGACTATTGCATTTAACCAAACATGCTCTCATAAACAAATTGTGATTTTATTGTGTTGTACTAAAAAAATAAAATGGGCCTTTCATTTGATTTGATCTTCACTAAGTTACCAAAAACTAAAATTTGAATTTCATAAAAATTAAATTTTAATTCAATTAATTCGTTCAATCACTTTTAAAAATAACATCCAACAAATTTAAAATTCAAATTTTAATATCTACAATTTTTTTTTTTAATTTTCAAGTTACGACTTATTTTATATAAAAAGAAAAGTCAGTAAAAGTTAGATTTTCTATTTCAATCTACAAGATGTTTGTTTCTTGTAGTTGAAGCAAAATGTGTTTGAAGATAAATATGCCTTCAAATTTAATGTCCAATTACAACAAACTGTTTCATCAAGCCTTGAACTGACACTCAAGCACAAAGATATACATACATTCAGTACTATGTCAGCATTTATTGAATAAATGTATCAAAAAGCAGCAGCTTTTACTTTCTTTTTTTTTTCATTTCATATAAATATTCGAAGGAAATGCATTGCAGTTGGCAATGAATATTTTTCCTCATGTCTTTCAATTCATATTGGTTATTTATATGCCATTTTATCATTGGAAGGCACTAAAACAATTGACAATTGTCTGTGTCAATAACTAGTACTTGCTTGATTTAGAAATTTCACTTTGATTCCCTGAAGCAGTAATCTTCACCAATACTACCATATGTTGGTATCCCGGTATGGTTCATCACCCTCCACTTCATCATCACTGCCCTAACCCCTCTTAAAGATAAGAAGGTTGAAAGTCCTTGAGGAGTTCAAGCTCGGCTGTTGGAGAAAATTCAAGTGCTCGGCAGACGAGGGACTACAACAGGAGCACCACGAACCTTTTCAAGAGCAAAGCTTATCCGTAATGGTCGACCTAACAATGCCTGCAGCCAAAGGATTATCAGTTTGAAGCAGTTTCCAGTATCTCATAAATGGACTCCTATTGTGATTTGGACCTTAAATATTTAAACCACATAGTTGCAGCGGATGCCAGTCAAAGTAACCAATTTAGAAATTATACTGATCAATCGAAGAACTAACCAATTGAGAACTCGAAACAGGAAAACCGTAAAAAGAAGAAAAGAGAAAACAAGAATATACGTGGTTCAACAGTATTCTCTACGTCCATGAGCACAACAAACAAGAAATTCACTATCGAAGAATGGAGATTACAATGAACAAAAAATATCTCCTAGGGAAGATGACTTTAGGTTAAACAGAATCAAAATAGTCGGCATACCTTTCCATCCATTGCATCTTTTGCACATCTGGCTTCATCTTCTTTAGAAAAATGAACAAACCCAAAGCCTCTTGACCTACCGGTGTCTTTATCATACATTATCCTCACTACAACAGAAAAATCAACCGGATCAGAGACCAATCCTAGAGCAGATAGAACAGACTAAAGACTAAAGACAGATTAAACTGCAAAATTATTACCATTTTTTTAAATGTGAGCAAGCTTCAAGGTCAGATTTGTACAAGTCCAATTCATTCAACTTTCAAAAGAAACTATTGTTTCCTCAAATGAGTTGAAGGTCAGGTTTCGTTCAGTTTATAAGCATATATTTCTCTTATGCAGTGGGAAATAATTTGTATATCTTATAATGTTTAGGAATGGTTGGTGATGGTTGTTAATAATGCAGCAAGTGAAGTAATCAGAGGGTATCATTGTTGGTCAAATTATCTTTTCATTAACTTTTCCCATGATTTCAAGCACAACCAAAAAGGATATAACCCCCCATATTTTTGAATGAAAGTTAACATATTTGAAAATGAGATAAGAAAATTTCATTACATTATCATTACAAAATTGAGTAATTGCTGATACTTTGATTATTCAGACAATTCATCGAACACCTAGATGATTATACTAACCTTCAGAGACGTTGCCAAAAGATGAGAAGGCATCTTTCAAGGATTTCTCATCAACTGACCATGACAATCCTTCAACACCCAATACCCATCATGTTAAAGTTAATCACAAATAGAAAAGAAATACAAATTAGGGGGGGGAGAGAGAGAGAGAGAGAAGGGAGACCTGCAACAAAGAGCTTGCTGTTGGGAGGAGGAGAGGAAGATGAAGGAGGTGAGTGCGAGCAATAGAATCGCCAGGTTGAAGTTGAAACTGGGTTATCAACTGCTGTTGAAACTCTTCTAGCAATGAACCTAATAAGGCTGTTCTTCTTCATTTCTCCACCAATAAACGACTACGGTTTTTTTCTGCTTATCACTCGTGTTTGGGATTGAATATGTAAATGGTGAGATATGGAATAAATGTATTTGTAAAATCATTAATTTCTTTTTTTTCTCATAGATTATTAATTTTGAAATTTTTTAAATAAATAATATGATTTAAAATTTTTACTAGATAATTTTTAATATTTTCCTAAATTATATAAAAAAATAATATTACTTTCCATGTTAGTATTCAATTTACAATCAACGGTCTAGATTTATTATGGTATATTCATAACATTTCAAATTATATTTTCAATTATTTGTTATATAATTTTCTAATATGATAATATATATTTATAAAACTTTTTTATATTATTTTTTAACATCATGTGTATATGTTACGGTGTGAGATACATGCTACAGGAGTGAAACCTAAGTGATATTCTGGCAACCGGTGAAACCGGTTAAAAGTGCATAGAAATCGCATGGGAAGAGGAGCTGACAGTAGAACCTCCCCTCGCTATAAAGCTCAAGGCCAACAGGGTTTCACATTTACCAGGAAAAAGGTTTATTAATTCTAAGATGAAAAGATTATTTGGAATTGAGACAGAGGAGATGTTTATGGTTGAGAACAGAAAGAGATGAACGACATATTCTACAGACAGTCCCATTGGTCATAAACCACCTAGCTGAAGCTGCCCCTCACGGCCATTAGAGGCCAGCTTTCTGCTTCTGCATTGTGGATTTGTTGTCTATTTGGCATAAAGACTCAGTTTTTTATGGCTAAATTTCCTGAAACCCAACATTTTTCAACTCGCAAGTAGTTCTGATCTAGGAATTAATTAATCCTTTTACATTGATAACCCTGCTTCTCTATAGCTACGCTGGCAGATAGATGCAATATCTGTTGGTCTCTCTTTCAAGTAACAATGCTTGATAATTCTGTCAAGCAACCTTTAACCCCCAACATTCATCAGAGAACAATGAAAATCACATCTAAAAGCAAGAGTTACAATCATTGAAAATCACAGCGTGTTATGGAGCAGAAGAAAGAATAATTGAATACCACCTTACAATTACCCTGACACAAACACGAGCTGCTATTTTTGTCCTCTTTCTTTTAACAAGCTGAAATAAGAACTATACTGTATAGTGCAACAATTAATACAGTCCTCTTAAGATACAGATATGCTATGGCTCTGCATTGCCCACTGATTGAATACTCGCTTTCTTCTCCATATCTTCCATCATTTCATCTTTCATGCTCTTAAGCTCCTTCTCTCCAGACTCAGGTTCAATAGGCAGCTGCATTTTGTATTGATGTCTTGATGCAAAGATAAGAAAAACCAAGAAGTTTAAAAATCCTAAAGCTGCGAGTAACCAGTAAAAGTTGTTCAACTTTCCTTTATTCAGATTGCTCCTAAGCCAGCTCTTTTTGGTCACATGGTCGACAATGGACACTATCAAACTGCTCACAAAGAACCCCATTGAAATGGTGCTAAGGAAAAGCCCTGTGCTCATGGATTTCATCCGGTCTGGTGCCTCTCTAATGAAGAACTCAAGTTGTCCAACATAAGCAAAAGCTTCCCCGGCACCCACGAGGAAAAATTGAACGAGTAGCCAAAAAGCACTTATTTTGACTTCTTTCTCAATAGCAATTTCCCTCCTTTCTTTCTCAACAATGGCAGCACCCACCATAGCAACTGTTGAAAAAATGAGTCCAATTCCAATCCTCTGGAGGCTTGTGATTCCTTGGACATTATGGGTGATTTTTCGAGCCAAGGGGACAAAAACTTTTTCGTTTATGGAAGTGAAGAGGAGAATGGTGATAATGAGAAAGGCAGAGAAAGAACCAGCAGGGATTACGAAGGAACCAACTTTTCGATGCATGATGGAGGCTTGCTCAACTGTAAAAGTAGTCATTTGGGAGTAGATTGTCCAGAAGAGGATACATGTGGACCAAATGGGAAGTAGCTTTAGGACCATTTTTACTTCCTCAACCTGGGTCACAGTTGATACTATCCGTAGGTTGTTTTTTGTGTTGGCAGCACCATTGTCATCTATGATTGCAGCCTTGTCAAGACACCTAATCATCAATGCACAGTGAAATGAAACTTTGTTAATTTCCGGGAAAAAATAAGAACTTGGATGGTTAATGCAATTAACTCTTTTGGCACTTGATTCAAATATGGTGATGGAAACTTGGACCGGATTCCCCTGTTCACAATGTTCACATGCAAATCTAACAATTAGTAAGTAGAATCTCTTAGGCATGTACCAAAAGAATCTGCTAGGACTTAGGACCAGATAGATGGAATCTGATGGGAAAGGACCAGATATTTGATTTTAATTGCATTTCGAGATCAAGTTGGATGATTTTCATTTCTTCAAAATTTTTTCTTCTTTTTAATTCCTGTTGGGTGTGGGAGGATAGTGCTCTAAGGTTAACTCTGTGGCCTACACATGCGCAAGCAGTAAAACTTCATATGTCAGCTTGAGTTGGGGTACTGACAATGAAGCAAAATGGTTCAAATTATATAAAAATAGCACAACGCTGGCTCATGAAGGGATTTATCAGGAAAAAGGAAAAAGTTGGGTTTGATGTTCTCGATTAACAGGAAATTTTGTAAAAAGATGAAATTTCAAATTTCAAATTTCAGGTTTGATTTTATATCTGCTGTCAATAGAAATGAAACCAAAATACTGTAATTGCTTCCAGTTTTAGCAACAACAGCACAACTGGTCCTTGTGGAAAGAAAGAAATAGCACAGACTTTGACATAAAATTTTAGCCTTCAGAGTAAAATTATGTCAAATCGTACTTACTTGAATCTTTGTGTGTAGGGAACCTTTCTATTTTCATAATCGTTCAAAAGGCTGGGGTGGGAAGGATAAGATTGATTCCTCTTCTTCAAGGCCAAGAATAGAACCCTCCAAATGATGGTTAAAGGGCTCCCCTGAGGCTTTCTAAACCTGTACCATGGTGTTCCACAAAGCAAAACAGCAACTGCAATCACCATTGTTCCTGCTGAAATTCCATAACCCCACCCTCTTCCTACATTGTCTTGTATATATACCAGTACAATCACAGCAAATAAAGACCCAATGCTGATGCCAAAATAGAACCTATTGAAGAAGAAAATCATAGCCTTCTCCTCCTTGGGATCTGTCACATCAAACTGATCAGAGCCAAAACCAGAGACATTAGACTTTATTCCCCCACCACCAAGTGCTATTGTGTATAGTGCCGCATACAGCAAAGCCAGTTGCCGGCCAGTTGCCTCGATGCACTCATGATGCTCTCTTCTATAGTCATCACATGGAGGAGGCTTCATGCTCGGAATTGTTGTAGCCAGTGTTAATAAAATCACCCCCTGATGCAAGATGGAATAGCATAAAAAAACAAACATTACATAGTCTCTGCTAACGTTGTTATTTCAGTTATTGTAAGAAAAACTCACCATAGCTGTTATGGATGCAGCGAGTGTAACTGTCAAGTATCGGCCAAGTTTGGCATCGGCCAAGAAACCTCCAAGGAGACCAAGCAGATTGAGAGTACCCAAGAAGTTGGTAACTATAGTTGCGGATTTTGCTGCTGAAATATGCAAATCTCCAACCAAGTATGTCACTAAGTTCATTGATATGCCCATCACGCATATCCTCTCCGAGAGCTCAGATCCTGCACCAAAAATTTCCTTTCATATAAGCAAAAGAGGAAATATTGGATCAAGATAAACCACACTAACTTCTGAAGTTCATCACTAGACCTAAGATGAGCCCTGCAGCAAGCCATCCACCGGTTTTCGACTTGTCCACCAGATTCCCCCGGAAATCAACCACAGCTCCATCATTTGAACTATCTTTCTCGCCATTACTTCCAACCAAAACCTGTTAGCATCCAAAGCAAAATCCAGGAAAAGGGAAGTATTCATAAAATGATAAAAATATTTAACCATGCTAATGAAAACTTTTTATAATGTATACTATACCATGATTGAAGCTTCTAGAGGAGAAGAGAAAAGAGAGGGGAAATGAAAATGGTGCTGTTAAACTCCACAATATTATGAGGGGGAAACCGAAGGGAAGAAGTGCATGATTGAGTTTCCCCAACTTGTGGTTAAGAGTAGGCTTGCATGAGCTTTTAAAAACTGTAAGATTTGGTCATTTTGGTGTTATTATCATCCTGTGGTCTTGGTGCTCACAAGCCACTGCTGTCAACGAAATAACAGAAAATGATAAAACTTTTCTGAATTTGGTTCCAATCTCTTCATTATCATCTTTGTATACCCCAAAATGGTGAAGTGTTAAAAGAACAGATAATGATCTATGGTGTTGTCCTGTCATGTGGGGTTAGGCTGATCACAAACGCACAACTTTCTGATGAATGACAGTGTACCCTTGATTGAATATCTCAGTCCTACAAAGTTTTGATTGATCCCATGTCAGGAAATGTTACATGGTAACACAGGGGATGGCATTTTGCTTGCTTCTATCATTTTTTCAACCTTAAAAGATCATTGAATTCAGTATTACTCCCAAACTTCGTACTTTTACATCAAGTTTTCACATTTTTAAGATCAATTCAAATATTTAGAATTTATTCTTAGAAATGGGAGCTTCTAGCTCTTAAAACAAATAAAAGTTGCAAGCATCAATGATAATTCTACAGTTAATAAGATAAGGATACTCAAAGCTGGAACTTTTCTGTAAGGACAGATTCCGTCATGTCATACATGTTACAGTTACTCAAACCACAATTATTGCAGAGCAAATGAACCTTTTACCCCTTTCGATTTGATTCTCTTTTTTTGTCTCAACTTTGCTTTATTGTCTCTTGTCGCATTGCCTGATCGTTGGTAGGCTGAAACATAACCTCCAACTTTCCTTGCTGGATTACATATCCTAATACATTCAATCCTTTTTCTATTCTTATACGACTCTTTATATATATAAATATATATATACATATATCAAAGAAATCATTTTGGTTAACACTTAAATTAACTTCTAAACTATATCACTTTTCATAATTTGATACTTATAGAAAAAATTAATCATTTGATATCTTAATTTTACTTCTGTCAAATATTTTATGGAGTATTTCATCTATAATATTTTTTTACTATAACTTTACAATTATCCAATCATAATAAAGAATTATATAAGATCCACTATTTATAAGTGTAAAATCTATATAAAATTTTGATGGACATCACACAATCGTAAATTGTGATTGATTAATTTTACTATAATGAATATAGATGACATATTCTCGTATTTTACCGTAATAATTAATGATATTAGATAAAATGATTATGTGACAAATATTAGCCAATAAAAATGCATCACATGTTATTATTTTATTCATTAATTTTTTACCACATCAGTATATTATTAACAAAATTAATGTTCAAGACAAATAATGTGATAAAATGAAAATTGAATATTAAATTATTAATTTTTTATAATAAGTAATAAATCGTAAAAATGATATAAATAAAAAACCAAACTATATGTTAGTCCAAATCTCTTTAAAGAATTATTTAGGCAATTTAAACAATCTTAACGAAGCAAGATTTTGGAATTTTGTTGACTACCGGCAAGTAGATTCTTTTCAATTTCGATATGATACAACATGTAATTTACCTTAATTTTGTTCTTGGCGCAGAATTATGCAAATTAAAGAGAATTAACATTTTGATATTTTACGTAGCTAAAGTCTTATTTCAGTGACGAAAATGATACGAAACAAATGTAATTTACCTTAATTTTGTTATTAGTGCATGCTTTATGCGAATTACGGAGATTTAATTTGAGGCTTTATATCATTCTTATCTTATTTTGACTGAACTCAATAATCAAAAACAGAACAAAATGAAACCTTTGGTTGTGTCTCTGCATGCAAATTCTTTTTTTTTTTTTTAAGCTTGACATATTAATAATTTTGCCAAATCAAAGTTACAAAAAAAATTGAACCAACATGCATGCTCGTAGAGAAAAAAAAAAAAAACTGTATAGCTATCAACGGTAAAGCTTGAAATCTATAATCAAATTTTCAAAATTAAATGCACGTGTCACGAATTTAAGAAAGAGTCATGAATCTCACATCAAATATAAAAAGAGAGTCACTGAAGTATATAAGGGTTCATACCACTTCTATCTTGTGAGACATCTTTTGTAAGATAAAATCGTGAGGTCAGAGGGGATCAGAGCGAATAATACCTCACAAAGGTATGAACCGTAGCAGGTAGGTTGATTTGAGACGTCGAATTAGTGAATGCTCGAGTCCCGAAGCCGCGCGGATTCGGAGCTTAAGTTTCGACCCGTGACAAGTGATATCAAAGCCAATCCTATACCGTTCGAATCATGCCAAACCCCTCGAAGGAGGTATGTAGGATGACCAGTCTCCGCGACGAGGGCGTTACGAGGTTGGATGAAGAAGAATGTCACGGACCTAAAAAAGAGTCTTAAATCTCACATCGAACATAAAATAAAAGTCATTGAGATATATAAGGGTTCACATCATTTTTGTTTTATAAGATACATTTTATACGATAAAATTATGAGTTAAAAAAGATCAAAACGAATAATATTTCATAAAGATATGAACCGTAACAAATAAATTAATCTAAAATATTAGATAAATAAATATCCAACTCTCAAAATCATATAAATTTAAAACTTAAATTTTGACCCATGACATATTATCGTCTGATCATTCCCCATTTGCCAAACAATGTTAAAATTTTATTTGTAACATTCTCGTTCAGAGAGTGGTGTCCAATCCAACACAGTTTTGTTGTTTCGCTTTCTTTCTTTTTCCTAAGACGTTGACAGAAATCGGACACGTGGAGAATTGGACCATATAATTAATTAAATAATTAAAGCATTTAATTTATATTTATTGATTGGGCCGATATATCTTTTTAAACGATTTTCAAAAAAAATATTTTTACATTAGTGTATTCAAAATTTTATTTATTTCAGTGATAATCATATTAGTATTACGATGCTGATAAATTAATAATATTATTAAAGAGAATAATTATATGCTATCAAATTTAAAGGTTTTTTTTCATATATATGACCTTTGAATCCAATCACATCTTGACAGACAACTTTAAAATTAAAAATTGCACGTTTCATTACTTCAAAAAAAGAAATTGCATGTCCCACCTTTGAATTTTTGCCTTCAATAATACATCATTTTACTAATATATATATATATATACTAGAATGCATGTCCGCACTACATGGCAGAAATAAGAGTAAAAATTATCTAGTTCACTTATCATCTTAAACTTGTTCATGGTTCCTGAGAGTATCTCTTTTGATGTGCCCATATCATTTCTCTACATACAAACCATGTGCCACGTACTAATATCAGTTGCAGCAAAACCATTAACATTTAGAAGAAGACAGTTTTATTGGTGCTGCATATATATCATTTGATCCAGCATGCGATTGTGGCTATCCAACTCCTCATTTATGTATCACCGGACAGCTACTGACGTGATATGCATCAAAATATGATTGCATTATATTTAGGTTTACAGAAACAGAAGTTTCAGGACATTATATAAATATATATATATATATATATATATATTCGGAGTGTGTTACCAGTTCCACGACCTTGTAGCAAAAACATATCATGATTTCATAGAACATGTCACTAAATCAGGATTAAAGCTTAAAATCTACACCAAAACATGAAAAAGCCTTAACACCTGAGCAAAGCAAGCAATTAAGCCTGTGGATTAGAATATTAGAGTTGTATATTACATACATGGGATTGGCACTACAAGAAAATGAAAAATTAGTGTCAATTTTTTAGTGACGTTTCACTTAACAATGCTGCTAGCTTTCGTGTTTTTATAAAATTTATTATGTTTTTTATCAAAACTTCACTAAATATTCAAATAACGACGTTTGTAGTTATAAATATCACTAAAAATAAAAATTAGTGACATTTATCCACTAAAATACCTTGAATAATCCATTCACAAAAATTTAAGAAGATTATTGAAGGCGTTTTTATCTTGAAACGCTTTCAATAATCCCTTCATAAAAAAAGAAAGGGATTAATGTAAGCGTTTTTTATCAAAAATGTATTTAATAATCCCCAGTATTTTTTTATAGGATATTATTAAAGTCATTTTCTAAGCTAAAACGCCTTGAATAATCCTCTAATTAAATACTTTCAATAATCTTCTCATCAAAATTTAAGGAGATTATTGAAGGCATTTCATGCTTGAAACACCTTCAATAATCCCCTTTAAAAAATTAGAGAAGATTATTAAAGGCATTTTCGATCAAAAACACATTCAATAATCTCTTTATCAAAATTTAAGGGAAAATTATTGAATACGTTTTTTGCCTAAAACATTTTCAATAATCCTCTCATAAAAATAAATTATTAAAGACGTTTTTGACAGAAAATGCATTCAATATCATCTTTAAAAAATTGAAGGGAATTATTGAAGGCGTTTTTACAAAGGCCTTCAATAATCCCCTCATAAAAAATAGAGGGGATTATTGAAGGCATAAAAAATTGGAAGAGATTATTGAAGACATTTTTTGTCAAGAATGCCTTTAATAATCTTCTCATCAAAATTCAAAGGAAGTATTGAAGGTGTTTTTTACTTGAAACGCCTTCAATAATCCCATCATAAAAAATAAAATGGATTATTGAAGGTATTTTTTTTTCATAAAATGCCTTCAATAATCTCCTTTAAAAATTTAGAGGAGATTATTGAAGATGTTTTTAACCAAAAATGTCTTCTATTAAATGTGTTTCAAGCAAAAAATGCCTTCAATAATCTCCTTATATTGAAGGCATTTTTTGCTTGAAACGCCTCCAATAATCCCTCATAAAAAATGGAAAAGATTATTAAAGCAATTTTTGACAGAAAAATTGAAAGGGATTATTGAAAGGGTTTTTAACCAAAAATACCTTGATAATTCTAAAAAAGTAATTGAAAGGGATTAGTAGAGGCATTTTTAGCCACAAACGCCTTCAATAATCACATTTGTCAGTGTTAAATTTTCTTTAAATTTTAAACCCATGAGACCCTTTTTTTTGTTTTTCTTTTTCCTACTCATTTCTTTCATTTCTACTTATTTTAGGTCACTTTCTTCTCATTTTTTACCTAAGTTTCAGTCATTTTGTGGCTAATTTTCATCTTTTTTCCTTTCATTTTTGCAAATTTCAAGTTAGCTTTCTTACAATTTGGGTTAAATCCCTAAACTTCTTATTTAATTTGTTGAGTCAAATCCCTAAATTTACTATCTGATTTGTTACATTTCTACCGCTGTTCAAGCTCCATTAGTAAGTTCTAT